CCCCCCCACACACACACACAGCCTCTGAGCAGCTGACATCATTCTCCTCTCCCAACTGAAAATTCCAACTGCCTTGCGGGGGGGGGTGAGTTTGAGGTGTGGAATGGAGTGTAGTCCAATCAGCTTCCATATGTAAATGACCTTGGAACGCTGGCCGGGACTGCACAAAGCAGCCAATGAACCCAGCCAGTGTCTTCCGAGTGGCAATTTTAGAATTCTGGCACCCAAAACTCTTTTATAATAAGGGAGAGATATGTATTTGGAATTTTATCTGTTGTAAGCTGCCCTGAGCCGACCTTGGCTGGGAGGGCGGGGTAAAAGTTTAACAAATAAATAAAAATAAATATACGATATGGTATTTATCCAATAATATTTTTGTAAGGATAGCATAGATAAAAAAGCAAAAAACAATCACTCCAAGTTCTGATTAAGTGGCTGTAACTCAGAGTAGCTGACAATGCCGCACAGTTACCTTTGTCCTTTTTCCCTTTCCCAGCTGTAGAAATTCCCTGTACTCTTCTTTTGAGCACCTAATTTACATAATCACTCAACTGTTGTTGCTTAATAACTGTATGAAATGCAGATTTTGTTGTCCTGGCAGGCTAATAGTGGTTGGGAACCAATCAGATTACAAGAATTTCTATAATCACAGAAGTTATTACCCAGAAATTACACAGTGGTTAGTTATATTACCTAAACTGCCTCATTCTTTACAAAAAATTTCGGATAACAAGGCTAAAGACCATCCTTCTACTCCTAAGCCCGAGGGCATGGATGGTGACTTTGGACCTCAGAGACGCTTACTTTCACGTCTCCATTTATCCTACCCTCCTCATCTTCCTCCATATTTTGGTAGGCAACAGACATTTCCAATACAAAGCCCTCCCATTTGGACTGTCCATGGCCCCTCGGGTCTTCACGAAAGTCATGGTAGTCGTAGTGGCACACCTCTGCCTCAAGGGAGTCCAGGTTTTTCCCTGACGACTGGCTACTAGTGGCAGACTCGGATGCATCCCTGCTCACCCATGTCGAACTAAACCTTGACTGTCCTAAAATCCTTGGGAATCAAGGTGAACTTACCAAAGTCTGTGCTCCTCCCTGCCACGAGAGTGCAGTTTATAGGAGCTATTCTGGACTCTGTTCTCTCTCCCTCCACAGAGAGCGGAAGACATTGTCAATCTGGTGAATCGCTTACGTGATACAGGAATGGCCACTGTAAAGCAAGTCCAGCGGCTTTACAGCCAGATATTTTTTGGACCAAGGATCACCAGTAGATTTTTCTTCACAGAGCACAGTGCTCTTTGTGGGGTATACCAGGGGAGGCAGTCCCGAAGGTATGAGGGTTTGCTATGTTCCAAACACATCCACAATTCAGGATTCTTAATGTCAGTCCCAGAAGAGGAAGTAAAGCAATTGAATTATTCTCTTTCTACCCTTTTGAGCTGGCCAGTGGTAAATTCAATTGCTGAAATGCTGTAAAGGTTGATGGTAGGATTTGGGGTGCTTCAGCAGTTCAGTAGGTAAATAAGAATTCAGTCCTCAGGGATATTTCAAGTCTAGCATGTTTACTATCCAGGCATTTCTTTTCTTATGTCCTCTGCTGCTGTACATCTCAAATACCCTTGTTCTCATCTTGAACACTTTTCTAACATTATCAGTGGGGAAGAAATGAATTGTCATTACACAAATGTATTTAGATGGTTATTTCTATGAAGTAAAGAAATCAGTTTTCAAGTGCGTTGAATGTTCTAGCACAAAACACACCCATGACGTTTTACAGCAGGTTTTTAAAGAAAGAAATAGAATGAAATGTAGTTAGAGCCTTCCTGACCTCTTTCTCTCACTTTTCCTCCCACAAGTACCTGTACCATTTAAGAGGCTATGACCTTTATAGATTTGTATCTGGGACTCAAAAAAGTTCCTATGAGGAATATAAAGCATTCCAAAATGTGGAATAATCTGTTGTAAAAGCTGGATAAGGCATTTAATCCAGTTACTACACTGTTTGACAATGATGATGGAAGATAAAGGGTAGCAGCTAGGGTGGATTTGAAACTTGATATGTTGAACTACTGCTGCTAATTATAATTGCTGGGTTTGTACAGCTTGGACAGGTTCCTAAAAGAATATGTTCATAGATCAGGAGTGTTATTAAAGCTAGCCCTTCAGGTGGAGGTAGGGATCTCCTGTGCGGCACAAACTACCTTCAGCCAATTCTGGTTAGTTTGCCAGTTATGGCCTTTATTCGAAAAGCATGACTTTGCCACAGCTATCCATGTTGTAAGCACATCTGGCTTGGGTTACTGTTTAGCGCTCTATACAAGTCTGCCTCTATAGACTGTTCAGAAGTTTCAGCTAATTCAGAATGTGGCAGCAAGCTTACTTGTTAATGCAAATTACAGGGAATATGTGCCACCGGTGCTGGAAAATTTGAAGTGCTGGTCTTGTAAAGCCCTAAAGGACCCTAGGGTATTTTAAGAAGTAATTCCATATAGCTTTGCCCATCACCTTCTATCAGTAAGATGTACATGTTGCCCTATCAGCTGGAATGAGTGCAAGGTACTGCGTCATCTGCACTGTGTTACTTCTCCCCTTCTTATGTCACCTAGTCCTAAGTTTGTTGAACTTTAGACACCATATGAAAACATTTCTTCATCATTAAGATTTTTTTTGTTTCTTCTTTCTTTTCCCTCCCTCCACTTGACTTTCCCTTTCAAACCTTAAAAAAGATATTATAGCTTTGGAAAAAGTGCAGAAAAGGGCAACTCGAATGATAAAAGGGTTGGAACACTTTCCCTATGAGGAAAAGTTAAAGCGCTTAGGGCGCTTTAGCTTGGAGAAACGATGACTGAGGGGTGACATGATTGAGGTTTATAAGGTTATGCATGGGATAGAGCAGGTAGAGAAAGAGGTACTTTTCTCCCTTTCTCACAATACAAGAACTCGTGGGCACTCAATGAAATTGCTGAGCGGTCGGGTTAGAACGGATAAAAGGAAGTACTTCTTCACCAAAAGAGTGATTTTTCTCCACTGTGTGATACAGAGTGTTGGACTGGATGGGCCTTTGGCCTGATCCAACATTGGCGTCTCTTATGTTCTTAACAGAACTTTTAAAAACCTATTCTCAAGTTGGTTTTATTACTCCCTTGTGGTTTTATTGATTCCTACTTGTTGGCTTTTGCTGATATCTCTTGCTCTAAATTGATTATTTTAAAACATTTTTATTCAATTGACTTTCTTGGATCTGTTCTGTGGTATTCATGATGCTTTAAGTACTTTTAAATCTTTTGGGAGCTGTCTCAGAAGTGTTTTGCTGATGATACCAGATGTGTGTACAAAATAAATAATACTTGAAATTATTTTCTTTTCCAGACTTTCTGTAGATGAAGTAGCGACAGAGCCATTAAAATATACAGAACAACTTCCAGTAGCAGAAATAATACACCAGGTAGGTCATTTTATTTCTTATTTTTCTTATTTGTCTCAGGAACAGGTAAGGGCTTTCATCTTTGAAATAAATGTTAGCATTTAGTTAACTGAGTAGTTTATATCCATCTTGAATCTCAGTGAGAAAGCTGGGCTGTAAATGAATAAAATAAAATAATCTTGAGTATAATAAGAGCAAAGAGTGCTACAAGGGTGTCAATTCACAGCATAATAATGGATTGTTCCTGTCACAAGGACTATGTGGTGTCCAGAGGAGAGTTCTCTTGTTTGATAATTAATTAATTAATTGCCATATGGCATTGTGTGTAGAATAGCGAGCATATACTAAGATTGTCTGGCTGCCAGAAGTTCTAGCTCTTTTATTTATTTTTCATTTATTTTATTTGGCTTCTATTCCACCCTCCCCGCTGCAGGGTGGCTCATATCATTACTACAGATAAACAATTTCTCAGGTAAAATTGCAATAAATTAAATCTAAAAACAATACACTAAGTGCTAGCCGTAACATACAACAGAGTGGGAGTCCAACAATCAGTTTAGCGCATGGTCTGGGTAATATAGGCGAGGCACAGGCTATTCAATGGTGTTAATAATGTTATTGATGTTATTAAAGTATTGATAATATTGATGGTATTGGGACCAGGGCCTCTATGGATAGTTGCAGGTGGCTCCTTAATCGAACGCCTGGTGGAAGAACTCTGTTTTATAGGCCCTGCAGAACTGTAAAAGATCCTGCAGGGCCCTGATGTTTTCCAGGAGCTCATTCCACCTTTATGGAGCCACCACTGAAAAGGCCTGGCTCTTGTGGCTGCAAGCCTGGCTTCTCTGGGGTCTGGGAGGACCAGGCGATTTTGAGTGCCCGATCGCAGTGCTCGCTGGGGAACGTTTGGGGAAAGGCGGTCCTTTAGGTACATAGATCCCTGGCCATAAAGGGCTTTAAAGGTAAGTACCAGCACCTTGAACCAAATTCGGTACGCTATGAGCAGCCAGGGCAGTGCTTTTAGCGCAGGCTGGATGTGTTCCCACATAGGGAGACCCAACAATAGCCTGGCTGCCACATTCTGCACTAACTCCAGCTTCCGAATTTGGAATTCCAAATTTATGCATCCCTAGATGGTGAGCTAGACTTGATTTGAAGGCAAGAGACATTTCAGAGGTGGTTTGCCATTGCCTGTCTCTGTTACAACCCTGGCATTCCTTGGAGGTTGCCCTTTCAAATACTAGCCAAGGCCAACCCTGCTTAACTTCCATAATCTGACAAGATCAGGCTAGCCTGAGCTTTTGGTTGATAAATAGTGTATCAGTCTAGTTCCTGTAGCAAAAAGACAATATAGGCTCCATATAGACAACATATGCAGAAAGGGTCAGTGTGCATAGGAAGGAAAGGAAGCGTTGATCCTGGCTTTCACTCAGACTCCATTTATGTGCATTTTCCAAAATGTGGACACTTCTATGCAGTTTTTTGTGCATTTTCTCTATCCCTGTGATCAGGATTACTGTTTCAGAATGTTTCTAAACATTGAATCGCACCTACAGTTTATATGCCTGTAGGCCCCCACATCTGTATTCCAGAAGATTTATATAGGAGAGCGTGCTCGTTTCTACTTCTCCTTGTCTTGTGTTGGTTTGTCCCTGCTGTGTACACAGGGCTGTGCAATCTTTGTCTCCGGGTTACATGGGTGGGTCCAGCTGGAGAGGGGCAAGGGGCAAGAGGATATGACTGTACATAGACTTAGATCTACAGTGCTGCCTGCCTTTCCTGATGTGGATTGTAAGAGGTAAAGCCAACACAAAGCAGGGTGGGCTCCATATGTATTGTCGTGTGTGCTGCATTGCTGTATTTCATGCACTTGGCTAGAAAGTGTGTGTGATAGACTGCACATTTAAAAAGTTTGGAAGTGCTGTACAAACACCTAAAGGACCATGAAGAGTTAATTCTTCACAGAAATAGGGGGCTTTGAGTGACAGGCTGCTCCAAGCAATCAGACAATCAAATTTATTGTTATGGTCAACAACCAGTAAACTCAGTCATTTTACATAAAAACATTTGAATATGGGACAAAACCAACAGTGGCATTCTTGAATTAAATCTGTGACTATAACATGAAATAGTACAAAACAGCCATAAAACTTGTGCAACTCCAAGCAATCTGATTGGTTAGCATCAGAAGAGCAGAGAAAGTCTGGAAAGAGCTGCACACTGAGGAAAGATTCAGTCAGATTTATGTCTTGACTGAATTCAGTCTGATTTCAGCCTTAGCTGAGAGCAGTTTAACACAGACAGGAGAATTGGGAGAAAGTTGGCAAGGAAGTTTGGGAAGTAGGCAAAGACTCCCATTCAGGCCAAGGAAAGGGGATAGATCTTCTAGAGAGAGAAGAAAATTCCCTACCTAGTTAAACAGGGAGTTAACTCTGAATATTACAGAGATCCCTGGTCTGGTGTGGTTAGAAACTGCCTTTAGAGACTTTAAGAGTCAGTTAAAAACTCAAGACGATTACTAGTTGTAATGTATTGAAACGATTACATGAATCACCTCATAGGACTCCCATGTTAAGCTTCGAGCCAGGCCAGGGCTCCTCTGAGCGAACTTCCTATTGGTCGCTTCGTAACAGCGACCAATCAGAACGATACCATTCCCTAGGAGGGAAAGACTCCCATTGGTCCTTAACTAAGCAATCTCATTGGTTGTTAATTGTAAATAGGCGTGGCTACATTAGCCCGGTTATGTTTAAAAGGAGCATAAGCTCCCACTGTTTTCTGTTCTGGTTTCTTACTGAGTTGAGTGCTTGTTCGTTACTTCCAATAAAGCTGAATCACTTGCTGAATCACTCTAAGAGTCCTTTGTTAGTGCGATCTAACAATTGGCGACGAAGGTGGGATGTTAGAGCAGGTAGGCAGCCCTGCGGACATCCACACTTCGGACTCGGAAGAAAGCGGGCAAAGCACAGCAGCCGATCCGGCGGAGGCACCACCAGCTCCGGTGCCCAAGTCTCCCACGATGGCTGGAAGCCAGAAGTTCGAGTGCTTCGAACCTTCCTCAGAAGACTGGGACTCCTACCTATCCAGGTTCGAGTTCCATCTGGAGACACACGACATTACAGACGAGGCCAAGAAACGGGCGTGCCTCCTGAGTTCCTGCGGGAAGGGGACCTTCGACATAGCCAGGTCGTTGGTGGCCCCAACTGATATAAAGACTGTCACCTACGCTGACATCACTGAGAAGCTTAAGGCTCACTATTCTCCACAGCCGTCGGAGATCGCCTGCCGGCACGCGTTTTACAAGCGGAGCCAGGCCGGAGGCGAGACCATCGCGGATTTCGTGGCGGCCCTTCGCAAAGCCGCACGACCATGTAATTTCCACAACGTGGAGGAAGCCCTCAGAGACCGTCTCGTCTGCGGTCTCAAAGATGAAAGGCTGCAACAGAGGCTGTTCGCCCGCACCACCCTGACCTGGGCAGTGGCCTACGAAGAGGCCATGGCCGCGGAAGCAGCGGAGAAGTCCACGAAGGAGGTCCGCCAGCGGGTGGCAGAGCCCAGTATACACGCTCAACGAGACAGCGAGGGCGAAGACGCGGATGATGACGTCAACGCGGTTCGAGGCAAGCGGACCCCAGCGAAGACTACCAACGTCAAGCCTTGCTCCGGTTGTGGCGGGAAACACCAGCGCGACTCCTGTTGGGCTCGTGATGTCGACTGCAGAGCGTGTGGGCGGCGCGGCCATCTGGCCAGAGTCTGCAGATCGACGCGTAAGGATTCGTCACCAAGCAACAGATCAGCGCAGAAGGGCACTCCAGTCAGCACTCGTGGCAAACAGCGTTCATCGGCTCCGGAAGCAAGCTGCCAGTTGACAGCGACCCTGTCAAGCGCATCGGCCATCAATCGCACCAGCTGTCAGGGCAAGATCACCGTGACCCCTCTCCTCGACGGCCGGCCGTGTACCATGGAAGTGGATTCCGGGTCATCTGTGACGGTGATATCTGCCACGTCCTGGCACCAGCTGTTTCCGACTCGTAGCCGGCGGCGGCTCCAGCCTGCGGAGACCAGAGTGTCCGACTTCCAGGGCAACCGAATTCCCTTGGCCGGACGGGACTCTGTTACTGTTGAGTATAAGGGGAAATGTGTTAAACTGTCATTCCTGATTGCAGAGGGAGACCGGGTTAACCTGCTAGGGTTAGATTGGTTTGAGCCATTGGGCATTGGTATTTCTGGGATTAACAGGATGTCTGAAAATAAATGGGGCATGCTGTACGACCTGTTCCCTGATGTATTTGCCGAAGGGTTGGGAAGGTACAAGGGCCCCCCGGTTGCGTTTGACTTAGATCCGTCAGTCAAACCTATTAGGTTGAAGTATCGGAAAGTACCTGTGTCTCTCAAACATAAGGTGGAAAAAGAGATTGACAAACTAGTTGAGCAAGGGGTTTTAGAGCCAGTACCATACAGCAAATGGGAGACCCCGATCGTAACCCCTGTCAAATCAGATGGGTCCATACGACTATGCGCCGATTACAAATGTACGATTAACAAGGCGCTGCAGCAACATTCGTACCCGGTCCCGGTAATAAGCCACATTTTGGCTTCCCTGGGGGGTGGCAAGATTTTCGCCAAATTTGACCTGGCCCAGGCATACCAGCAGTTGCCTGTCACCCCGGAGGCTGCCGAGGCCCAAACAATTGTAACCCACCAAGGGGCTTTTAAAGTGAACAGGCTGCAATTCGGGGTCAACGTAGCACCTGGGATTTTTCAGGGCCTCATGGAACGTCTACTAAGGGGGGTACCTGGCACAGTGCCCTATTTTGACGACGTGCTGATTGCGGGCGGGTCTGAACAGGAACTACTGGACCGGGTTAAAGAGGTCCTCAGGCGTTTTCAAAATGCCGGTCTCAGAGTTAAGCGCTCAAAATGCACGCTCGGGGTGGAAAGTGTGGACTTCCTGGGGTTTCGCATTGACGCAGAGGGAGTCCACCCCACGGATGAGAAGGTATCTGCAATCCAAAACGCCC